ATTTGTTGTTATGACCAAAACATATGCAGTGTGTAAGTTTTAAACAACTCTAAAAATAGCGACATATCCATCTATAGAGCCTGGGAACCCTCGTATCTTGCCAAGATTTCCCTCGTAACACATCCCCCCACCCCCAAACCAAAAAAAAAAGAAAAAAACCACTCCATAAAAAAAAAAAACCAACCAACCAAAAAAAAAAAAAAGCACCCAATCTACATTAAGTGATGTCTGTATACAAGGTGATACATATTCTCAGTTTTCCTCAGCATGTTCTAACATATAAATTGAACCCTTGTTTCATAAATCTTAATATGCAAGATCTTTTTTCTTTTAGGGCAAATAACCTGCAAGAAATTGTACATATGAACTACTATACCAGAGCATGCAAGGAAATGTTTACAGACAACAACAATATAGAAGCCCTTACTGAGAGCAGAAAACTAAGATAACAATAACGGGTTTTATACCAACCATAATCTTAAGCCACAAGTATCAGAAAGTCTCAAACTCAGAATTTAAAAAATCACAGCATTATGCAATTCACACATAAAATGTTGCCATAGAGCGCATAAGCAGCCTCTAAATATATAAACTAAGCCCTAGCATCATTAACCTTAACAACTTCCAACTCTAAGCAAAGCACACTGGTTTCTTTTACAGACAACGTGAGCACATAACTTAAGATAAAAGTTAAAACTATACGACTTTAAAAAAGCACTACACCTCTGTAATAAAAAAATCTTTGAAAACATCACTCCATCGAACCCCTGGACATTTGGGTGGAGAAAGAATCCTTGAGAAAACATCACTCCATCGAACCCCTGGACATTTGGGTGGAGAAAGAATCCTTGATCAACTGTAGCTTTGAAGACGACGATGGAGACTACTTGCGGTGGAGAAAGAATCCTTGATCAACTGTAGCTTTGAAGACGACGATGGAGACTACTTGCATATGACAAGTACAAAAGCAATATGAAATTATGTATTTTTTTTCCGGGAATGTAGATGTGCTATCCTAAATGTACAAAAAGAGAACTTGAACAATAGACACAACAATATCATTCTGTCTGCAAATACTATCAAACAAACTCAGTCAAATTTCCCCTTTTGTGTCTGCAAATACTATCTAACAAACTCAGTCAAGTTTCCCCTTTTGTGTCTGCAAATACTATCTAACAAAGTCGTCAACCCCTAATTTCCTCAATTCAGCTCAAAATAAAAAAAACTAATTCACCAAAATTAACTAAAAGGACATAAACCATAAATTCACAAAAAATAACAATTGAATTTTTACCTTTTGAAACTGACACAGGAGCAAGAGGAAGACTTGAAGCAAGCCCTAATTCGGACAATCCTTGACCTATTGTTGAATTATAACAAAATGAAATGATGGCTAATTAGAACAAAATTAAATGAATTTTTTCTTTAAAATTAGAACCAATGAGAGGAATGAAGAACAAAAAGGTGAGATGATGAATTGAGCAAAAAGCGTATGTAAAATTTAGTAATACCTTCTTCAATGAAATTCCTTCCTGATTCTACCCGATGCAAAAATTTTGACAAATGAGGAGATGATGGCGGAGACGCAGCGTTGATGATTAGGGAAATAACACTCATCTTTTGAAATTGATGGCTAAGATCGTAGGACGGCGTAACGTAAGAACCGAGAAGAGGGGCTGAGATGAAGGGTAACGGATGAACTGGTGAATTGAATTCATCTCTAAAAGTTGTTGGAGGTAATGGAAGATCAGAGGAGGAGGAGGAGGAGGAATTGAAAGGAGTAAAGTTTGGTAATTAGAGGAGGAGGAGGAGGAGGAATTGAAAGGAGTAAAGTTTGGTAATTAAAAGGACCGATGAATTGAAAGGACCGATGAATTGAAAGGAGGAGGAAAATATGCGTAACTGATGAAAGGGTATTTTGGGGAGGTTATTTTGGGATATGTTTGGTAATTAAATTTGGTGTAAGGCTATTTTGGGGAGAGTAAAGTTTTTCATGAACTCCCTCTTTTAAAGGGTAGATAGATTTGTTCTTAATTTCAAGCTTCAAGTGAGTAAGCCAAGTTTATTGATGCACATATACACACTGTATGATATTGCTTGTTCTTCTCCTTTCATCAAAATCGCTATAAACAGATAACGTGAAGACTACAATATGAGCTACATTCTTGTCATAAACTTCATTCAACAGGTTTTGCTCTACAATTGTTCAATAGAAAGACGGAACAAAGTTTTTCCTCCCTTTTATTACAGAAGAAAATAAATGGGTTTTAAGAAACCGTAACAACTTTGCTTAGAATCCACAACACGAGGGTCGTCTCAAAAGCAAAGAGAGCTTGGAGCAAGCCCCGATCAAGAGCGAATCCAAACAGTGTAATTCCTCCTCCATTGTACTGTAGATAGGTGACTGCAACAAAGAAGAAAAATATTGAAAATTAAGATTAGTTTATGACCACAATATCATTCATATCTGTATTTGTTTACACTTGTTATATCACATGATCCATATATCTTAGATTTTTCTCTCATGTCCAGTACTGGTTATTAGTATTTATCTTCCGTCCACCATATCTATATCTGGTTTTGATGGATATGGATATAGACATAGATTTTTCCTTACGTGGATTATAGGCTTACCGAGAGCTTGTCGACTATCAAAGGTAGACGGTGCTCCCTGTGGAGGTGGAATGAGGGATTCTTCGGAGGTGGTGTGTTCCGATGACGGGTCGGGTTGGTGGGTTGTCGGGCCTTGCTCGTTATGGCCCGATAAGTCGGACTTCTTGGTTGTTGTACAACATAAGTTCATGTGCCAACGGCTGGCTTTGGAGACCACCCTCTGTGCTCTGTGAGTGATTCTTGCAGCTCCCAACAAACACAAGAGGAATCCACTGAGTTGAACAACTGAACATACCTGCAACAAGTAGGGGACAAAAAAGAAATGGATAAAATGATGATCGACATGATATAAGAGCAAAGCAGGCTTTAGAAGATTTTTAGTTTGAATATCATTATTTTCCGAGTTTAAATTATATTTACCCTATCCTCATGTTCCGTCCTCTTACTCTTGTTGTTCTTGAAAGTAGTAGCAGAGTATTCTATAGATTTATCATTGAGAAAAATAGATTTATCATGCAAGTTTCATGAGAAAATGATCTTATACTAGTATTTACTAATAAAATCTGTCATGCGCTTACGTCTTTTAGTATCAAAATAGTATAAAATTCCTAATATAGCTAACATCATTAATTCCCTTTTGAACCAACATGTGAGCATCATGGGATCGCTTTAACCACGTAACCTGCACTCGGAGCACATTTCTAAGCTATGAAAATGTTCAGAAAACGAAATTTTCTTGCATGCTTGGATAGGTAAAAAAAAAAAAAAAAAAACTACCACAGTTGATGTCAGCCGGGAATTGCAAAAGTTCTACGCGTCTTAAGATCGCCAGCATAAGCTCTAAAGCGCCCAATGGCTTATGGATTATCGTCAGCCAGCACTCGAGCCAATTATGAACGGCCTCGTCCTGTGACTGCGTCACCAAGAAGCTGCTGCTTGGATTCCTCAGGTGCTCGCCTGAACACTCAAGCACAGGTCCCGTCCCGTCGAACGTCTGTGGGAACCCCGTCAAACCTCAGGATCTGCAGCTTCGGCACTGTGACCCTGAACCAGAAAGCGCACACCAGCAGGAACACCCGCGGTCCGGTATACCAGACTCCCGCGCCGATGCGCGGCGCCATGATCCGCGGGCGCCGGAGGCGCGGGTCCTGCTCGCGCGCGACCCCGTGGTGAAGAGCAGCACTGAGTGCGCAGCTCGACGGAGAAGGCCGGAGGATGATGTATGGCGCGAGGCAGCGGGAACCCTGTGCGGCCCGGGCGTAGGTGCGCGGCGCCGCACGGGGTGGTCGTCCCCTGGAGGAGGTGTATCGATGAGCAGGACGATGCTGGCGGAGGCCGGTGGCCGCGGAAGAGACGCCAGGGTCAGGAAAGGTCGACGCGGGCCGGCGCAGGACGCTCGTGACAGCTGGACGAGCTGTGCCGTTAGCGCGAGCCAAAGGCGGGGGTGGAGGAGGAGGTTAGCGGAGGAGGAGGATCATGGAGGTGCTCACGGATGACCACAAGTGAAGCAGGACGAAGGCGGCGGTAGGACACGTAATTTTTTTATCGGAGAGGGACGAGTGGTTCGAGGGGCGCACCTTTCAGGCTCATCCGGGAAGCTCCTGAGCATGCGGTCGTGGGAATCGAGGACTATCGAGCGGCTTTTGCGTACGACGGTGGCAGGAGGACGAGAGACGCGTGGCAAGAAAGCCGCGACCGGAGGGACGGTCAATCGCGACGTCCGTCAGGAGCTAGTTGTTGAGCATGTTAGGTCTTGCCACAATGGTTAGTTTTTGTTGTCGAAGAAGTTAGGCTGGGGTATAAATTACGTGGTAGTAAATTTGAGAGAGCGGGCGTGAAAATAATTGTGGCGAGAGTGTCGGGCTCGTGAAGCTTTTGTGAAAGTTGAAGGAGGCAATTGGAAATCTGGCGGGTGTTCCGTAGTCTCAACTGAGCATGGGGTCACGTGATCTCTGCTGCAAAGCACAACAAGTAGTGATACTCGGACGCCTGATGTGTAAAGTCCCAAGTGAGATGGTTTACGCTCCCTCTCAACCACAAATGAGCGTCTTTCGTTTGATCCGTAAACTATGTCCACGAGCATATTGGTCTTATTTTAAAGAGAGCCCGGCTACGAGAAATTAAGTTGACGAAAATGTAACAATGACGAAACAAATATCTTCATGTTCAAATTATTTGTATCTTTTGATCAGATGAAGAAACATCGTCCGCAATTAATTTTGTCGGTCCAAGTAGCGTCAACAGAGCTCTTCGTCACCGTTTGGTATCCGAACTCAAACCGGTCTAGTTTAAGTTCTGCATGCCCCTAATTTGATAAATAACTGAATCAGGACTTGAAAATTGATTTGTTCAGCATTGGTCCAAGTAGCGTCAACAGAGCTCTCGTCACCTTTTATTTTGCCAATCAGGATTAGGTTTTGCATCTGCACGTAATATAAAGTTTGAAAGGTATAAAGATAGCTTAATTTCTATTTTCTGTAGCCTATCTTCAATTTTTCTCAGGAAAAATATAGTGCATTAGAATTGAAGAGCAGAGCTAATGATATATTTACGCATCTTTGGTTTGCAGCATTAGTCATGTAGTGAAGGATAACAATTTGAGACGACAGAGGAAATAAAATCAAAATTTATCTATTATTGATCAGCAAAGCCTTTAATTCACAAATTCACAAGGAGAGGATGTACAAGCCCTGAAAATTAAGAGCATGTTAAAGGATTTCTGAAATAATATAAGGATTTGAAGGGGCACTTATCCCAACAAAATGATTTGAGAGGATAATCAAAATAAAAGCAATTTCGATAATGTGTCTAAAAAGGAACAAAAGAAAGCGGGAAAAACAAGGTTTCCTACATTTCTTAACTTTTAGTCAACGAACAATAGAGAGCAAGTTTTGGACGTAGCTCACTTTATTTCCATTCGATCTGCAGCATTTATCTGCCTTATAATTGTCAATGGCAATTGAATGTTCATGCTCCTGTACAAATGTTGCACTCATCATACAACAATATGTATCAATTAAGAGGACTGTTTACAAAAGATATCAGCCACCAGTAAACAGAGAAAATACTTGCGGAAAATATACAGAACTTGAGGGGAAAAAGAAAAAGTGTTGATATACACATGAAGGAGGTGCCCTTCAGAATTAAAGGCCACATTATAATTGCTCTCATTAGGTAAGGCCATATGCAAGCAAGGTCATGGGACCTAATGCTCATAAAAAAAAATTGGTTCCAAAAGGTTCCGTGATGTCTTTTACCTATCGTAAATTCTCGAACGTGTATTTGGTCCGTCAGAATCCAACGAGGCGCTTAGTCGATGATCAAATTCCTTAGGGGGAGGATCGCTCCTGCTTCTTGCATTTCCTTGTTTCATTCTTCTCCTTCCATTAGCTAGAGTTTCTATAGGTCCACTCTCTGCCTTAGAAGGACTATTAAATGCTTCTTCAGAATCTTCTTGAAGAAGGCCAGCAGCTTTCATGCTTTGATACAGCATCTCTTCTTGATTATAGGCCTCTAAGGACTCGACGACTTCCTTCATTGTAGGTCTAATCTTTGGGTTCTCACTGAGGCATCGGTGCGCCAAGTTGCCTATTTTGCCTGCAGTTCTACTTGAGTATTGACCCCGCATTTTTGGATCTATGATCTTCAAAAGTTTTGTGGTTCGGATCAAGAGAGGTCGAGACCAATCAACGAGATTATGTTCATGGTTTGGCCTTCGTTTGTCTAGTGCTCTTTTTCCAACCAAAATCTCAAGAAGCACGACTCCAAAGCCATAGACATCGCTTTTAGCAGTCAGATGTCCTGATACATCAATAGCCATAGTACAAGTCTATATTCAGGAACATATTACAGTGCTCGGTCGGTAAAATATGCTGGTGTAAATTTGAATAAAAGATGAAACCAAAACAAAGAGGGCATGGTTGATGATTAGTAGATTTATTCAAGGGTTAATTGCACATGGACCCCCTGTACCGTCGCCAGCAAATGCAGATAGACCCCTTGAAGTTCTATTGGTGCAGATGGACCTCCCATACTATTGCCCAAGTACAGATAGAACCCCTATCTGAATTTTTTTACTCTTAAAGAATAAAAAAAATACTATTGCTCAAGTGCACCAAAATGGGGTCTACCCGCAATTGGGGTACAGGGGCATACCCTCAATTAATTCTTTATTTAATTGACAAAGATAAAGAGGGAGGAAATAATACATAGAGAAAACAAAAGCTCCTCTATACTGAAAGGGAGAAGGAAAATTTTTCCTGACTGTCCCACTGTTGAATTCACAGCATATAAAGACATTTGTTTATTAAGTTAGTCTAGGTTTAAAAGAAACAAAAAGCTTGATGTCTGAAACTCTTGAGAATACAAATATATCCTCATATGTTTACTTCCCATCTCTAGCAGCACTCTCGAAAGTTTTAAATGCAAGTTTCTTTTTTCTGAAAATAGATAATATTGTCCTCAGCCTTACTATAAGCAAAGACATAAAAACTAGGAACTTCCAACATAGCTATGGTACATTGTTAACTTCCTGCCCATTATCTTGCATAGGAGGGATCAATTCTGCAGTTAAGTCTAAAGATTGAATAAGTGACAGGTTTCAATATTTGAGAAATCTACTATTAGCTTCTGTCATTTATATTTTTTACAGAAGTACATGTTATTCATAACACCAGTTTGTATAACAGAAAGTACAATATTATTGACAATACTGAAAATATGCAATTAAAGACTGTTACGTTTTAGTAATACAACTATTGCTTCAAATTTAGAAGGATATAAAGGACAGATTTTTGAGATCACTAAAGTGATATCATACTTCTTCTAGAAAATGCAATTTTTCGGTGGTGTTTATGTAAGCTATTTGTGATAGAACTTTCAGTGCTGGAATTTCAATTGACCCCCATGCTTTTGCAGTTATGCTTGTCTTGCTAATTCTGCTCAATTAAAAGAAGAAATATAATCCTTCCTTAATTACTCATTAACTCACCTGTCATTATATACTCAGGAGCAGCATATCCATAGGTACCCATGACCCTTGTAGAAACATGTGTTGCATCACCCATGGGACCTTCCTTTGCAAGGCCAAAGTCTGAAAGCTTTGCATTAAAATCCTGCAGATGTAAGACCATGATCAAGTATATCTTCACATAACTATACTGAGGTTGCAGAAAAGTCCCTTTATTGAGACATTCAATCAAACAACTCAGTTCGATGATCGGGGGTGGACCACCTTGTCTTTTGATTTATTAAAAGAGAAAGAAAACAGTCAAAAGGATTTCCTGTGTGCTGACAGTTATTACACACTAAAGTTTCTTGGGTTGCACTCGAAAAGAAGGGCAGTATTTTCATGTTAAGAATGTAAGTATCATTTGACTACTACAACTGGCTAAAGTATCTGTTCT